GTTTCAGTCACTGACGAGGGAAGCTCAGTGGTACCCAAAGCACCAAGCATTTATGCAAAATACAGAGGGGTGTTTGCGTGTGCGCCGACCATTCTTGTAAAACCCAGAGAGTCAATCAATTTTTTATTTAGCCCTAATTATTTGGGGTAACATTCACTGGGTTATGGGGTTATGAATGTTGCTCCTGGCTGACACAAGCAACATTCACCTGGGTAATTCTAAGTGTCTAGAGGAAATTTAGCATAGGAAGTAATTATAACAACCTTTGTATGGTGTAGCAATTACATCTCTAGACAGTCCACCAAAATTCAAAGGGAATAGCACCACTTTGGCTTAATAAATCCATGTGACTTGCTGATATCACAGGCATATCGAGTCATACTGTAAAACGCCGACACAAAGAGAGTACAAACCTTTTTTCTTAGTATTAGATGTAAAGAAAGAGAGTTTTAGGCAGATTCGCACATCTGCTAAAACTCTGGATATAAAACCAGAGAATGGATGAGTATCATGACTCCTTCAACTTTCACGCTAGTCAGTTGAGAATATGGATCGAGATGGCATTCGGACTTCTAACGACGAAGTGGAGAGTTTTCAGTTTCCAATAGAGCGTAACTTAGTCAACGCCACGAAGGCAATTTACACCGCTAAGGTGCTTCACAACTACGTTATCAACAAGCGCATGACCACCCTCAACGACTATTGCATATTTGATGAGACTATCCGGCCGCTTCGGATACCAAGCCGAACTCGAAAGTTCAATGATGTTGCCAATCTGATGTGTAACATGTCGAGTGGTCTTCGAGTTGATGAAGGCGCAGCAATATGAGGGACTTCATTGTGGAAACACTTCAAGCTAATCAATCCGTTAGACCCCAGTATAACAAAAGTCGCAACGCTGAGTAGTTCGTATACATGTACTGGATCGATTAGTCTTTTAACAGCTCCTTCGTGTTTTGCTCGAACGTACATCTACTCGGCCGACTGGTCTTTTAACAATGCTTTCTTCTTAGCACGAACATGTTCAATATCAACGTTGGCTTCTTGAAGATCATATTTTGTGTAGCTGCCGTCAGGTACGTTCATAATTCGCTCTCGTAGTGAAAGCAGAGAGCTCAACGTGGAGACAAGCTGAGTAAAGCGGCAGTCTATCTCTAATGCCTCAGTAGAGTTATTGCTACTCCGGATCGTCTCCAAAATTTCTGACACGATATCATCTTTGCTAGGGCTGGACCTGGATCGGGTGCACTTCCTCTTGGACTCTCTCAAACTCTCGCTTTCGCTGTCACTGCTTGTATCCATGGTTTGCATCCGGGCGCGTTTAGGAAGCTTGCCTTCTGCAGTCACCAATACGCCAGTCTTGATGTTTAGCCACTCCTGCATGTACAGAACGTCGACCTTCCCGGAACAAAAAGAGAAAAAATCGTTGTCCTGTGTACCTGACACGCGGGAGTTGGCTAGAGCAGTATTGTATCGACTACTGACGTCCTTCCACATATCGCGAAGTTTTGCTGCGTCATGAGGTACAGCAATGGCTGGGTTGCACTTGGCAAACAAGGCGAGCGTCGAGTTGAGTTTGCCGAATTCAGCTTGATCGCTAAGATAGGCGTCATGAATGTACGTCCAAAACGAGGAGCTGGCATGGGTTTGGTTAGAATCCAGCTCTGCACGAGTTGGTTTGCCGTCAATTTCATGCACTCGGTCCGCAAAAGTCTCAGAAAACATGACGTTCAGAAGGCGTATCATACAGTGGCGAGTACGTCGTTTGATTCCAGCGGCACCTAGTATCTTCGACGGACCGTCTTCAACTCCAAGTCTCTGCTTTTCAGTGAATACACGCTTTTGCCGCATGAGTAGCCCTACGTACCCAATCTTGTGGTCATTACAGTCAATTCCCTTCTTAGCAATGCGAAGCTGCCGCAAGTAGCACTCAGTCCGCAACTGCTTGGCGCCAAACGTCGTTAATTTTGCTTCAGCATCCTCAGAAGTAACAGTCGCGTCGAAAAGGATATCGGCGATGCTGGGCATGGCCTGTTGAGTTGCAGCGCTGGATGACATATTAGACAGTGTACGCTGGCGAGCTGAGGCAGTTGTGTTCTTGAGTAGAAAAGATGGAGTGAACACGATAGTGTCGTGCAAATATACTATTCTATCCCGTTGCAATCTCTACCTCTGACGTGGCTCACCCCCAGCGTGGTGTGTATTCCCTCCGTCCACGGCCACCACCCCTAATTTTCGGCGGTGGACGTGGATCTGATTCCGTTTTGATGGCTCCATCCGGTGTCCACCAACATGTGCATCCCCTGGGATTCTATTGGGCCACTAGAGCCAAATCCACCATTTTTCACTCGCTAATAACGGCCCTAAGACGTACCCCGATGTGATAGGTGACGAGCTTTGCTCTACTAGCGTTCGGCGCTTTTAGAGCTTTTTGTCGACCTAATGGCTGGATGACGGCGCCCCTTTAGGCCAAGCAAGTAAGACGGCTTACATACTAGCACCAACTCCGTCATTAGGCTGTTCCAACCAGTCTAATCGCTCGTACTATTCCGAATGAAGGTACAACTAGTTTTTACCGACACTAGGTGTGACTATTTCTTACGTATCGTGTTTCTTGGTCTACAGGCACGAATAAATCTAGTGTGAGAACATTTCAAGGAGGGTGACCTAGATTCGGCGCCGATCACCGCAGTGATAATTAATGACTGGTGATATGCAATTATTCTGACTTGCGCTGTGTAATGTATATGGGTTTAGAGCGCGGTGCTCGATAAAATCGAGATTATTATCGTATCGCAGAACAGAACTATTGCTGAACTGGTTTGTGTGCATTAGATAACATGCATAATATTTTGTATGGTAATATTATCATTGGGTTTTGAGCAGCAATTTTTAAAATCCATCAATGCTTCTATGGCCTCGGTCTGTATCAGCCTTTGCGATGGCTGCCTTGGTGGATAGACCGCCTTTCTCCAGACTATGATGACGTATAATCGCCTGGAGAAAAAGTTTGATTCTTTTGTTTACAATCTCCATTTGGTTGCATACGTTTTCTCTGGATGTTTAACAGAAGGCGAGTAAGCTAATCCTTAATGTGAATCAATCCACAGCTCACTAATGGAGGGTACACCACGGCTCATTGAGTATTGTGGTGCTGGTTGAAATGTTTATTGCTGAATATTGCTGGAGGGTACTGTATTTTCTGGAATTGTGCTGGCAGTGCGAGGATTAGCAGGTGATCGTGCTTGTGCTATAGAACTATCGCTGGCAGGCAGGGATCAAGCGGAAGGCCATTTGACCATGGAGGAAAGCTAAAAACTGGTTGTTCGACTCGTTAATGAGCTGGACTATTCCTGATGACGCATCGATTACTGCTGGGCCCTTCGTGTGGATTTGTTGGGAGAGTAGAGGCATAGCAACTTGAAGTTGCATCTCCCCGGGGTGTTAAGATGTCTTCGCTCTAGCCAAAGCTTGTGTGCGATACTGTTGGAATTGATCCCCGTACATAGCATGATTTTGGATCCTAGGTGACAATTGCTCAAAATGAAGGCATAATCTTGGATGAGGACAACACGAAAGCACTCCATCATTTCAATAAAGCCTCGAGCTGCCAAATTTCTCTCCCTTGTTCAATCTAAATTCTCCTTCTTGTATGTGACGAGATCAGGTAAAATTCGGGTTTGCATGCAATCTGATCGATCTAATATGGATCGTTCCAAATAATACAATGGGGAAAGTGGAGGGGGGGGGGGTTCCAGACATCGCATGAATGGCTTCCCAAATGAGCGGAGCAGAGTAGACCGCTTCTACAGTGACCATGGCCTACCTCCCATGGCGACGAGTTTGGGAGACATCCAAATCGGCGCTCTGAAGCTGTCGAATGCCCTGTTGGCTATTGGTTGTGCTCTTTTTTTTAATGTTAACCCTTTCGCGATAAAAGGAAGCAAAATGCCCCCTTTTCCTGGTTTTCAACTAAGTACGACGATGTATCCATGTTAAAGGAGGCAAAATGCCTCCTTTTATAATTAAGTACGTTTACAACAGGTCGTTATGGGCATAGCGAACCCAAGCAAATCACACTTTGAAGATTTGAAGGTGGTCCATCACTCGCCTTTAAGGAGGCAAAATGCCTCCTTTTGATACCGACTATCCTAGGTTTGTATACTATAGTTTACTGAAGTGGCTCGCGAAAGGGTTAATCCAAGTCGTTTGGACTTGTGTGTTTCGTAGGAAATCGACTTCAATCGATCGCGCCCATGCAAAAATTTGATATAATACCAGTCTTTAAATTGCCGGAAAATGGGAAAAGGTCCCAAGTTCATGTGGTACCGCTTGAACAAATAAGAAGCAACAACACCAAACGGGCATAAGTGCACGTCTTTTTTACGACTGTAACCGACGTGTTGAAGCTTCCCAAAAGTGCTTTTCCGTGTTTATCAGGAAGGCGAGGGCGGTACAAGGTTGAAACCCTTCCCCCATCAAGAACCTGGGAAAACATATCTGCTAGTTCTAGATCGCGAATATTTTTTCCAGGTAATAAACCGTAGTGCGAAAGTAAAAAGGCAGTTCGCCCTCTGATGGCATTCAAAAGGAAAAAAATGTATCGCAAATATGACGGAATTGAGCCTCAGAGTGATAGCCGTCCTGCAATAATCGAATGCCGTGATGATAATAGTTCTTTTTTCTTGTTTCAGTGGTTTAAAATTGTACATACTTTATAAGCGGTTTCACTTGTACAGACCGAGGAAGGGGATTCGAGTTAACTCCAAGAGCGACTTGTTGGTTGTAGAGATCGAAGAGAGCGTTGACATATCCACATACCGTAGGCCCTCCAATCACAGTGCCTTCTTCTTTTTAACTCTCTATCGTTCTGAGAAGAAGAGATGTAACCTGCCGTTTGAGACTGTGGTTCTGTCGAAAGTGTTTCTGACTGCACTACTCCTTAAACTCTGTCTGGTAGCCTTCGTATTTTCGTTTCGTGTAGGTTGAGCGAGCGTTCAAGCTAGTTTGTAGTGTAGCAAGCTCACTCTCTTCGATTTGCATGGGGACGGAACTGTCACTTAGTGGGCCTTCGAATGTTGTAAATGAGCTGGCAGCCGCATTCGAGCCTATCGATAGTCCTGAGTTCCTCCCATTGTTTTCCACACGGCACGTTCATAGTAACGTATAATACCGAATAGTACTCGGCGTTCTATTGTTGTATAACACCGTCCGAAGCCAAGTGCGGTGTTATATTTGATGGGCGTTTTATTAGGACCGAGGTTTATTTGATTTGCTCACAAACAGTAGAAATCGGATATGAACCATCAATGCCAGCAGATGTATTCAGTTGTTACGAGCTAAAGATACTTGAATCTTCTACTCATCGATCACAATCTCGTCGAGAGTGTCACACAACTCATCAAAAGTGCTGTTAGTGTCGTCCTCGATACTGGAGGCAGAGCTCGCATCGCTGCGGCTGCCCCAGGCAGCATTGAACTGCGAGCCGTACACGTCGTGGTTACTGATAAACCAGTCGCTCGAGTCTTCAAAGAAGCCACACTTACCCACACTCCGCTGCACGACACTGTCCGGAACCTGACGCCAAGCTGTGGTCACCCACGACACGACCACTTCTATCGATGGAGGGCGAGGATTTCCACCACGAGTGTAAGTCACCTGGTCTGAGCGCTTCCACGCATCGATGAGCACGGACATCTTGTCTTTGAAAGACTTGAATATGC